AGTGTTTGGATTTCAGGTGTGTACCACCATACCCATTCTGGCAGCGTGTGTTTTCATTCACTATACCCAACAGTACGATCCTGGCTTTACTCCCTCGCAGAGCCCAGCTGGCACGAGTGGGATCTGTAGTTTTCAGGATCACCCCAAACACAAACATAGGCTAGAAAGGTCACTTCCAAATTCTTGTCCTTTTTTCTTTGCTTGCCAGTTTGCTTGATTTTCCACTTTGCCATTTCCTAGTCCCCAAGTTATGAGGAACAGGGGTATATACAGCTGTGCTCCAAGTCCTAGGCCAGTTCCGCTGCAGCACTCCAGGAAAGGCGTGAGCTGTGGAGGCATCCTGGCTCTGCCCTTCCTTCCATGACAGGTGGCGAGAAGGAGCCCTGTCTCAATGAGGTTGAAACATACTAGATCCAGGAGGTCCCTGGATGCTGACTAGCCTGGTTCCAGTGGCCCTACCCAAGCCCTCTTGCCCGTGGGTTGCACACAGTGCAGGAGATGAAAGGATCAGGACTGTATCACACACATGGGGCATGCAGTGCCTGTGTGGGGGCATCCTTGTATGTTCACAAATACTCACTCACAGAGCAGTGACTTCCTGGGATTAGCAGGACGCCTCAGTGGGTAAGGGTACTTGCTGCCAAGACTGATGAGCTGAGTTCAGTCTTCTGAGTTGGGTCCCAGAAACCCACATAGTGGGAGAAGTGAACTCAGTCCTGAAAGTTATCTTCTGACCTCCACACATGTGGCCACAACATAAATAAATAAATAAATAAATAAATAAATAAATAAATAAATAAATGCAAAACAAGTTTTTTTTTTTTTTTTAAATAGGTGACATCCAACCATTCTAGGCTCACAGGATTAAAAGTGTCACCCGAATTGTCTCACTTCCTGACGACTTTAAGCAGGTGATCAGGTTCACACAATGGAAAAGCACATGGCTGTGAGTGTCAGCAAACGAGGGCTCAAACTCATATCTTTGGCTCGCTGGCTGAGTGGCTTAGCCCCAATCCCTGTAAAGTGGGGCTGGTCAGAGCCGTCTTGTGGAGAGGACACAGGTCACCTACCTGTACTCAGCTCTGTGTTTGGCATATGATAAGTGACTACTGACGACATCATGGTCATCACTGCAGAGCTGCCCTCCCATCAGGGGAGGTGACATCACCCACATGAGGGAGTCAGGATTCGTGGCTCTTTGAATTTTCCCGTTAGGCAGGCAGTTGTAGAGGACAAAGTTTAGACTAGCCAGGTCCTTGCTTTCGTCTCCTAGTTCTGCCTCTAACATTAGCTTTCCCTAATACCTAAGTTAGCCTCACTCCTGAGGGACCTTCCCTCCTCCCCCACTTTGTTCTGTTTTGTTATTTGGGCTTTTGTAGGAGAAAATGTTTTGAAGATAGAATCTCACTTAACCCAGGCTGGTCTCCTGAAGTCAAGGATGACCTTGAACTCCTGGTTCCCTTGCTTCTACCTCCCAGCTGCTTGGATTACAGGTGCCACTACACTCAGCTTTTTCTTTCTTTCAAAAATTAGTATATATTAATTGTATAAAATAAAGTCTCACCTTGACTCAAAAACAAAAATAGTAATATCCTTTCTTGGCTTAAAAACCCTTCAGTGAGCCAGGAATGGTAAGACACACCTTTAACCCCAGCACTTGGGAGGCAGAGGCAGGTGGACCTCTGAGTTCAAGATCAGCCTGGTCTACAAATCGAGTCCAGGACAGCCAGGACTACACAGGCCTTGAAAAAAAATGGGCCTTGAAAAAACAAAAACAAACAAACAAAAAACCCTTCAGTGGCTCCCATTTCCTGTAACGTGGCATCATCTTGAGACCCCTGAAACCTGCCCAGGCACCTCTCCCCTTCTTTTCTACATTACTCCAGGTCTCCTTTATTCCACATTTCCCAAGTGCTGTTTTCCATGCTTGGAATGCTGTCACCTCCTCACCAGACTGATGTTGCTAGGCTGCCAGGTCTCCATGCCAGTGTCATGTTATCCTGCTGGCCTTCCCCAGTGCTCTGGACTGGACATCACGATGCTGCACTGTGACTGTCAGCCTGGCTTTTCTAATGACTGTGAGCTCCGAGAGGAAAGACAGATATGATCTTTTCTCGGCAGTTGCCATTTTTTCAACACTATCCTTGACACAGAGCTCAGAGAGGGCCTCTCATTCCTGAGTGGCCTCTTCCTCAAGACGCCAGATAGTTTCTCCTGATGTGGGGCTTCCCACATCTGTTTGTGTCTAGAAGTACCTGTGCCATCTTCCCAGACAAGTCCCAGCCCCACCCTAGTCCTTCTGAGTCCTTCTATGAAGGGGTAAGCCTATATTTTCACAAGGTTCCCTATAGTCAAAGCCATCACAGGTCTGGTGGCTGCCCCTGAAAGACCATGTCTGTGGTGACAAGCCTTATGAACAGAGGGCACTCACTGTAGAGATTTTTGGCCTCATCAGGATATTTTAAAAATTAATTAGTTAGTTGTGTACAAAATGATGAGTCTTATGACATTTCATACATGCATATTTTTGTATTCTGCTCATATTTGAACCTCCTGCTCACTTCTGCTATAGTCCAACCTTCTTCTTTTAACAAATAGTTTTATTTTTATGTGTACAAGTGTTTTTCCTTTGTGTGTGTGTGTGTGTGTGTGTCTGTGTCTGTGTGTGTGTGTGTGTGTGTGTATACCATGAGAATGCAGTGCTCATGAAGGTCAGAAGGGGACAGCAGATCCCCTGGTACTAAAGTTACCCATGGTGGTGCTGGGAACTGAACCCAGGTTCTCTGTAAGAACAAGAAAGAGCTTTTAACTGCTGAGCCGTCTCTCCAGCTCCACTTCTACTTTAATGTCGTATAAAAATATGTATGTGTGCATAGTTATAACTACATTTTGCATGAGAAAAACCGGGCAATATTTGTCCTTCTTCCTCTGCCCCAATACCCTCTCTTATTTCTGTCCTTCCCCCACCCCTTAGGCCTCTTCCTCCACATAATATTCCTTCTACTTTCATATCATATTGTGCATATATGTACATCTATTTATATCTACATATAGATATATGTATATAGATATATACACACATTGTTTACTTATTTTTTGCAGTCTTGAGCATACTATGCAAGTATTCTGCCATATCCCCAGCCTATGTGTGTTATATATTTAATCAAGATTCCATATGCGATAAAAAACTTTTATATGGTATTTGTCTTTCTGAGTCACATAACATAATCCTCATATATATTTCACTGACATGACATAACTATTTTTCTTTACAGGTAAATAAAGCTCCATTGTCTGTTAATGGCATACTCTCTTTATCCACTCACCTGTTGATGGGCATCTAGGTCCTTATTTTGGCTGTTGTTAAGAGCAGCAATGAACACAGCTATTCAAGTGCCTCCCACCAGGCTATGCTTGATGTGTTGGAAGGTCTTTCCTAATTGCAGCTTTTAGAGTGTGTCCTAGCCATTTGTCCTCATAACCAAAGGCTGTATGTCAACCTGCCATTCAGAGTCCTCTTGATGCCTACCTGGGGAATTTCTCCCAGGCATGAATAAGACTGTCAGGGATGGAACTGCTAAAGTACCTTAGACAAGAGACAGAAGCATTGCTGACTTTTTCCAAGCAGGATTGTGCTGTTAGGAAAAAGAAAATCACTTCTTTCCACTCTGGTCAAACAATCCTCCTTTGAATTCAGGGTTGGGACTTTAAGTTTTATGAACAAGACCTAAGGTTTCCATAATTTGGGCACCAGAAGTCTGTGTGGGAGAACCATGGCTCAGAGCTAAGACCCCTTTAAGACAGCAAAGACTAAGCATAAATCCAAGAGCGTGTCACAGATCAGCTTGTTTTTGCTCCATATGCAGGACAACAGAGTTTCAGTCTAAGCTCCAGACTAAGAGGCAGAAACAGTATCATCTCATGGCTTCGGCAGACCTGTGGAAAGAGAAGCTGGGCGTTCTGTCTATTTTGCTGAGCTGCTGAGTCTTCTAGGGATCATAGGCAATGTTTTTATGCGCTGGAATCTGTGCACAGAATCAGCCATCCTTTGTTTACCTGTTCTGAGAAGCAGCAAATGAAGGGTGTGTTAGTCACTCTTCTGGTGCTGGGAAGAATTGCCATGGCCAACACAACTACTACAGGAGAAAGCATTTAACTGGGGACTTGTTTACAATTTCAGAGGTTTCGTTTATTATTGTCCTGGGGGGGGGGGGAGCAGGGCAGCATACAGGCAGGTGCTGGAGCAGTAGCTGAGAGCTATATCCTGGATCTGTAGGCAGAAAGAGAGAGACAGACAGAGACAGACACAGAGACTTTGGGCTTGGCATGGGCTTTTGAAACCTCCAACGAGGCTAGATCTCCCAAACAGTGTCACTTTCAAATAGTGTCACTCCTTGGGAACTAATCATTCAAATTTATGAGCCTAAGTGCGGCACTCTTACTCAAACCACCACAAAGGGTTTTGCCTGTAGCATGCTTGGGCCTTCCATAAGTTGTCAACTTATCCAGGAGTCCCAGGGCTTTGGCAGAAGCCATACAAAATTAGAAGGTCTTTGAGGGTGTTAAGGAACAGGTGGTGCTAGGGATGGGTGACAAAGAATGGCTTATATCTTTGGGGAGGCTTTTTTTTATGTGTAGAAGGGGTAAATTTTCCTCTTCCAGAACAGGGGCCAAAATCATTATATGTCCTTCAGGTGGACAGGGTTAGGGGAAATGTCACATTCAGGGCAAGGGAACTAAGGATGTAGGTGAAATGCTGGTTATCACAAATGGCTATGACTTCACTCTTGGGTCTGAGGGAACAGTTGGGGACATAAAGGATGCCATAAGGATCAAGAACTGTGGGCTGAAATAGGGGAACTTAAGAATGTGGGATACATGGTAAGAAGGACTTAGAGTGCCTGTTGGGGGTCTGGCTTTCTAAGCCTAGCTCAGCCCTGAAGCTTCATGTGCACCGTCATTGGACTGACCCCCTCTTCATCCTTTTTTATTTCCACTAGGCGCCTGGATGCCAACCTCATCTCCCTCGTCCCCGAGAGAAGCTTTGAGGGGCTGTCCTCCCTCCGCCACCTCTGGTTGGATGACAATGCACTCACCGAGATCCCTGTCAGAGCCCTCAACAACCTTCCTGCCTTACAGGCCATGACCCTGGCTCTCAACCGCATCCGCCACATTCCTGACTATGCCTTCCAGAACCTAAGCAGTCTTGTGGTGCTGTGAGTGCTGTTTCAGACCCCATCTGGGGAATGGGAAGCTGCATGCAGTCTCCAGTAGGGTCAGGAGCTTTGCTCTTCTTTGCATGTCGTTGAACCTTTTTGTTTCAGTCTCTGCTCTGTAGACGATGAAGATGATCTCAAAGATGACATTAAGCCCATAGAAGTACCCTAAGAGTCACTTAAGGGACTAAGTGTTATAATCAGAAAACAGAAATATTTTTTCTTTTACTTCCTCACTATACAAGTATAATAACCATTCCATGTAATTGAAATATAAGTCAAGGATTTCTTAAGTACTTTCCCACCACATTTGACAAAGATACGGTCATGCGCTTCAGCATAGCGATAGAATAAATCCATCTAATTTTGCAGGCCTAAAGAAGCAGGAAAGGCCATCACATGTAATTAGATGTCAAAGCCCCAGCAGGGTAATTACCTGGGAGATAGCATCCCTGGCAGGGATAGGGGCTGGGGTAATGCTGATTTCCTAGTGGGGACTTTACAGTGCAAATTAGCTTCCAGCTAATTGCTATGAATGATTGGTGAGTTCACAGTCTAATTACTAAGGGCTTGGAGGTCATGTGTAATTGCTCTGGGTTACATACTAATTGCTGCAGGAACATGTGTGTTAGTGACTCTACTAAATGGCAGCATTGCCTCTTTTGTTCTTGGAAATCTGGTGTGGTTTTCTAGGGCCACTGTGAATGGGTAATGCTCAGTTTCATGCGAGAGATAAAGATGCAGGTAGCGATTTATTTGTCTAATGTTCTACCTTGGGACCTTAGAGAGCCAACATAAATGTTCCCAGTGGAGTACTTTTCTCTATTAGAATAGCTCTACCTTCATCATTTTGTGTCAGTGTGATTGGTTTTAGCTTTGGTGATGTCCCTGTGACCTCACGTGGAAATGTGGTCAATTCCCTGTGAAAGAGATTACTGGAAACATGAGAACTTTATAATGGACCCTTGCTACATGGGCAACAGCACACACTTAAGGAGCTCTGTGTGTGCGATGCGGGTCACAGAATGATGCGGCAGAACTGCTGGCCTCGAGGTTCTTACAGCCCAGTTTCCTCTGTATGGAAAGACAACCAAGCCAGTTAGGACTTCTGTTGCTATAGCCAGGTGGTAAAGACAGACTCACAGCACAGGAGCAGTGGGGGAGTCACTCAGCTGTGGGCGGGTAGGAAGAAAGCCTCGTGGGGAGGCAGAACTGGGGCTGGACATGGAGCGAGTGGGATTTCACAAGAAAGGGGAACTAGAGCGTCAACGACATGGGGTGGAGTCAGCGCTGCTGGTGAAGGGGTCCATCCAGCTGTAGCAGAGAGTCCTTCTGCAGAATGTGGGAGAAAAGACTGAGTAGGTGACTTTGGGGATGGACAATGTCAGGGCAAAGGCTCTGGCTTTTATTTGCCAGTGTGGAGGGAAGCTTGTGGGTTTTTCAAGCAAAAGTTAAAAGGGGATATTTTAGGGTGGTTAAAGTGAAGGATGGATGGGAACACAGGGAACCAGAGACAGGAAAATTAGCCCTGAGGCTCTTGTGTACCAAAGTTTAGTTTGGGGAGGCAACAGAAGGGGTAAGTGGGAGGATGCTTCCAAAAGGGGCATTTTAAAGATCCATTGCAGAGGTTTTCAGGGATGGAGGGCCAAATAGCAAAGGAGTCATAGATGATTTCAAGGCTTCGCTGGAAGTTAGGAAGCTAGCATGAAATTTGGGCCCAATATAGACCTAGAAGGTGTGAAAGTCCCACTGGATAATAAGAGGGACAAGGGATTCAGGGAGAAAAGCTTGTGCAGAGGAGCAAAGCTGAAACAGACTAGGGGAGGCTAGAAGCATCACTTCTCTGTCTTTCATTAGTGAAAGAAAAGGTTTCGAGAACAGGAAGTGATGATGAAAGGCAAAGAAGGCTGGAGGATGCTGTCCTGGGTCTTTGAGATGAGCTGTGGGGAAGCCCAGGAGGCAGATAAGGAAAAATAACTACAAGAGGAAACAAGGACAAAGTTAGTTAAAGCCAAGGAGTAAGCTATGTGGTGTGTGCCTGTGCCTGTAATTCTACAACCTGGAAGGCTGAGGCAGGAGAATGGCAAGGTAGAGACCAGTGTGGGTTATACAATGAGACTGTCTCAAAACAATCAACACAGAAAAATGCAAGGTATGCATGTGGGCCCATCAGGAGATATGGCAGACAAGTATGATGGAAGTGTTTAGAGTCCCTCCGACAGAGCCTGTGCTCTGGTGCTGCTGGCACATACGGAACACGGAACACGGAACCCTTTCCTACACTGGTGGCGCTAGCAAGAACACAGCTGGTCGTTAGCAATGTGTGGTGGTATATGCTCCCATAAGCCCCAGCCTAGATCCCTGGCTGGGCTACTGCAGGTGTCAGAACTCCAGAGCTGAAGGGATAGTTTAAAGGAGAGAGGAAGAGGCCCGGAGCTAGAGGTCTAGAAATCTGAGATGGTCTGGACCAGAGCTGAAATGGAAGAGGAGAAGGTGTGGGAAACTGGGGCAGGTAGGATACATTTGGTGACAATTGGGATAAAGGCGGGCTTGTTAAAGAGAGACTCATTCTCAGAAGGTAAGGGTTGTTTTCCTACAGGACCAGAGATCTTTGGATTGGGGGGAGGGTCTGTCTTCCTTACTGGGGCCTGGTGGAAGATGTGGGGAGGACAGAACTTCACAAGACTCCCCTCCCTTCCAATCTAGCTGGATGGCTCTGGTCTAGTGCTCTCATAGCTCAGCAACATCTTTGCCAGCTAGCCTGTTTCTTACTCCTCCTAAGTGATTTCCCTTTTCTGCCTAAAGATGTTTGTAAATTCTTGAACTTTTACAGTGTAACTCAAAAATGCCACAGTGTAGAAAGTTCTGCATCTAATTTTCCCAGAACAATGGATGCCTTTGAGGGAGATTCTGTTCTTTCTTCTAGAGAATTTTTCATATTATTGTATCTTCAGGCTCATGTTCAAGGCATCCTTTCCTTGAGAAACTTCAGTTACTAACATACCCCACGCTGATTGGTTTTTAACTGTTTTAACTGTTGTTTCATTCTGCGATGCCCACCCTGATTGCGTCCAGTTTTCTTTATGTTTCTTTATCTTTATTCTTTCCTTTATATGTGTGCATGTGTGTGCCCTGTGTGCCTGCAGTGCTCACAGAGGACGGAAGAAGGTGTCAGATACCCAGAAACTAGAGTTACAGGTGGGTTGGAGCCACTGGTGAGTGCCGGGAACTGAATCTCAGTCGTCTGTAAGAACAGCAAGTGCCCTGCCCTACTGAGTCATCTCCAGACCTGTGTCCAGTTTTCTTCCTGACACGGCTTTCACCACTGCCTACTCTGTTCCTTGTTTCAAATTGATCAGCTCTCTCTCTCTTTAATGTTTGGGGTCTCAGGTTTATTACCTTAACCTACAATGTAATTTTTCCTTTCATTAATTTTTTTTTTTTTTATCTTTGAGATGTCATTTAGGTTGTTTTGTAGGAGAAGGTAATTGTGATCAGCTTCCTTCTGCTCCTCACTCACTAATTGTATTTTTTATTTTCTGAGACGGGGTCTTCTGTAGCCTAGGCTAGTCTCCAACTCACTTTGTAGCCAAGAATAACTTTGAGCTCCTGATCCTCCTGTCTCTACTTCCAAAGTACTGGGATTACAGATTTTACCACCACACCCAGCATTAATTGTATTTTCTTCAAGGCTTGAAATGTCACTGTCCCTTACAATCCTCTTCTCCTCTTGTCGCCCTGTGATTTATTTTCTCTGGCACTCTCAGGAAGCTCTGGTCCCACACAGCCTCTCTAGGCCCTCTTGGTTGTCCCTTCCAAGCTGTCGTGTGTGGGTTAAGTCCATAGAAGTAGGTTCTGTCTCATTTTCTGTACCCTGGTAGGGTGGGCGAGAGAGGCAGACTGCTCTGAGGTGCTGGCCAGTCTTGGGGGGGGGCTACCTGGGCTCCTTTCCCTGCCACAGTGTGTTAAGTGTGGGGTTTACTCCCTCCTTCCATGAGTGCCCCGGGGCATCTAGCGCCTCTCACTTGCCATTCTGTGAGTAGCCTGAAACTTTTGTTTTACTTTCTCTTTCACCTGTTTCCTTTGGATGACAGAGCAGGTAATAGAACAAGAATATTTACGTGGTTAGTTCTTACAACTTAAGGCTGTTACTGTTTTTAGAGAGAAATGTTAGATTTTGTTTTCTCTGGAGGAGGACTGCTGAAGAGCTCCACATTGTTTGGCCACAAGGTCTTCAGTGTATCTACAATCGCTTGTGTGCCTGTCCTGACTTTTCACACCTTTCGAGACTTCAGGTAGACTGGAGCTTGATTTGGTTGTTTTTGATCAATTACTGACAGACAGAAGAGAATTTTATTTTACTTTCAGTGAACTATTTACCTTAGGAACCTCTCCCAAACTTCCCTCTTTTCTACTCACAGCTATTCTTGCCGAGGCCTGTGCCCCACTGCACAGTCCATGCACCTGCCCAACGCCCACCTGTACTTGGAATCCCTTCCTTGTGCTCAAGCACACTGCCTGGCAGGGCCCTCTTGAGGACTGCCACTTCTGCTCCACGAGGCCTTGCTTGCTGCCTCAGCCTCACCAACCTCCCGGTTCTCTCAGCATGACCACAGCTCTCTCTAGCTGTAACAACGCTTAGCCCTTAATTATATGTTGTCTGCAGTGGTTGGCTGTTGGCTCCTCTAAGAACGTCTGGCCACTGAGTCAGGCTGGCTGGGACTTACGGAGCAGGGCCAGAGAAGAAACCTCAGATGTGAACCCCTATGACATCAGGTCTCTCTTCCAGGGCTTAGTCAGAGCTTGCTGCAGCCTTTGCCTGGGCTTTCCTCTTCCGAGTTTCTTCACTAGGAAGGCAAAAAGGTCCGTAGCCTGTGGTCAGTCCTGCCTTGGTAACTGTGGCTTCATAAATGGGTCTAGGCCAATTTGCATTGTCCCTGGAGAAAAGGGGTTAGACCGCTAGGGTCATTCCGTTCGTGCTTCTGCCTCTGCTTTGCTGCTCCTGCTGCTGTGCACACTCATCTGGCCCGGCCCTGAGTTTGTGCCCCACATTCTGACGTGTCTCTCCTTCCCACACAGGCATCTTCACAACAACCGCATCCAGCACGTGGGGACCCACAGCTTCGAGGGGCTGCACAATCTGGAGACTCTGTGAGTGGGACATCCTGTTAAGTCCTAGCCTGCTCGATGATGACACCTGTGACTAGAGCCAGAGGCTGGGCTTGGGAAGGGCCAGCAGGATATGATCTGGCCCTTGTCATCCATGAGCCCATCCCGGGATTTTTCTCTGAGATTTCACTCAGTGAGAATTCCTTCCCCCTTCAGGTGGTGGTTCAGGGTAATCCAGGAAGTGGGAATGCAGGGCCCCTGCAGCAGAGATATCAAATAATGCACAGAGATGAAAACAGCTAACAGAATTCAGAGAACTAGGACATGAAGCTTGGAGACTGGAAGGTTTAGGGGTGGGGCTGGGGATGACTTGATAGCAGTTTTGATGTCTGCTTAAGAGTGGCTGCTGACAGAAAGGAGAGGAATAATGTCAGGACCGTTTGCCAGCTGATCTAACTAGCTAAATGATTAATAGGAAAATGGCCCATTCAGCACCACAGCCTGCCCATAAAAAGCACCCAAGCTGTTGACTCTTAAAAAGCTGTATTATTCACACATCATCATCCCGGAATTCAGTTAAGGTCAGAATGCACCCAAGCCTTCCCATCACTTCCTCTGGAGGCCCGCCAGCCCCTGCAGAGTGGGCTGAGTGGGCCCCACTGTGCAAACAATCAGCTGGGCTCTGCAGGAGTGACTGGTCATGCCAGCTGGGGCCTTTAGCTCCTCTGAGGGAACTGGCTGCCACAGCCACCTGGTGCAGGACAGGGAGCTGGGGGCTCTGGGGAAGGATACCACCACAAGTATGAGCCACCAAGGGTGGGGAAAGCCTCATGATATCAGGAGTTGATCACAGTTCTTCTTGAAACTCCTTCTCCAGTTATGAACAAGCCTCCGTTTTCTAGCCACTCCTCCCTCATTTCTTCTGAGGTGAGGGCAGCAGAGGATAAAATTCTGGAAGGTGGGCACTGTGACATTACATGGAAGCGACGTGTTGTGAGAAAAAAAAAAACACTGTGTAAAGTCTACCCCAAGAGGCCTTGGCTACAGAATCTGTGGTTGTGTGGGGAAACACATGAGAGACTTGTCCCTAGGTCATGTCTTATTTCCTGTGGGTATGATTCCTAGGAGCATGGCTGCTCTCTTGTGCTCAGTGCATAGCATAAGAAATGGCAGAGCTGGGTTCAGCTCTCCTAGCATCCAGACTCTTTGACAAACTGTATCCCAAGGAGTGCGATGTGGGGTAGCATGTCCCAGCCTGGACTCACTGGAATCTGTTCCTACTACTCTCTAAGGCTTAGACTGTGTGCTCCTCCTCCATAGCTGTCACTGATGGCTGGACAGTTAGAACAGGCCTTTCTAGTTCTCTAAATCTTCATAAGAGAATGTACCTTTTCAGGAAGGCTGCACAGTTCCTCCCAGGGGGATGGTTTCCTCCTAGGGTGACCTTCTCAAGAGTGCACAGAGCAGATTATAGCGTTAATGAGAAAACAGAGGCCTTAGGAGAGTGCCTGGTTATGCTATTGCCTGGCCAAGTGTGAATTGAGTGATACTGCGTGCTGGATTTCTAGAGAAGCCCAGCTCCTGGTGGTGCTGGGAGCTGCAATTCAACAACAGGGCAGGAGGGAGAGCACAGCCATCCACCCTGGAATGTGGGGTTGTTTAGTTCTGCTGGGAAGTCAGGTGAGGATTGGGGCACAGATACTGAGTGTGGGTTGGCACCTCAAAAAAGCCAACAAGCAGCTGTTTCTTCACTTTTGGGGCACACTGCCTAACTCTTTCTCAATTAGCCACTGTCTTGCTGTGCGGGGCATTTGGCTCAGCTGCTGCTGGCTGAATTATAGAGCAGTTCTGCCGCTAAGTACCCACTGTCTCTTTCATCTGTCTTGGCCTCAACACACCAGGCCCCAGGCTATGCCCATCTTGCAGATGGAAAAGCCCTCCAATCTTTACAGTGTGGAGGCAGAAAAGCCTAGTGGTTAATCCCTTGGCACAAAGCAGCCTGGAGTCCTTCCTGCCAGTTCTACCAGCTGTGTGAGCTCAGCCATTTGCCTGGGAGTCTTAATTTTCTAATCTATAACACAATGTCACAGGGCTGTATAAAGTTGTTTCAGAGACTGGCAGATATATAGGACCCTCCTCCTCTCCTGTTTTCTTCCTCAGTCTGAAGCTTCATCTCTATGACACCCCATTTCCTCCCCACCCTCTAAGAGCAAACCCTTCTTCCAACTTTTGATCTCCAATTAAAAGGGGGGGGAGTGTATTCTTTCTCTTCTGTTCCCCAGAGCATTTTCTTGGGGAGCCTGCAGGGGAAGGCAGATGTGGAGGAGGAGGAGCGGCTGAGAGAATGAAAGGGGAAAGAAATGATAGTCAAGTCTTTTAATTGTTGCATAATTGGCGCACTCAGCAGCCTCGGTTATTACTCGGGAGCTTTCATGTGTACTTCTTGCTGGAAGGGTACTTCTCCCTCGGGCCCTGTAAATCTCTGCCACTTAGACCTCTCTCATCTCTGGCAGCAGAGGGAAGATCAAACCCCCATAGCCCAGGCTGTGGTTTGGCTCAAGCTGTGGTTTGGCTCCTTTGCAGCCTTCTCTTCAAGGGAGAGCAGCCCCCAGCTTTACCACCAGGTGCGGGCACGTACATGCGTGGCCACACAGGCTCCCAAACGAGGCACATGCAGCACACGCAACCCAGCTCACGTCTTCTGCCACCCTCTTTTCACAGAGACCGCCCGCCCTTCTCATATCACAGCGGAGGTGTACCCACCAAATGCACCCGTGTTTGCCAGCTTCGCTCGGGCTCCCAGCAGTGAAGACCAGGCTGCCAGTTCTGGGCCGCAAAAGCTCGTGCTCTCACTTCTGGGAGCCTTGCTTTCTTTGCTTGTACAAGAGGCTACCACAGCCAAACGGCAGCACATGCTTGCAATCCCAGCACTCAGACAGTAAAGGCAGGTAGCTCAAGAGTTCAAGGCTAGCCTGCGCTACATGGGACTCAGTCTCTAACAAAACAAAACAAAACAAAAAAGGGCAAGTAGGTCACACACTACACACTCTGGTCTAAAGAAGCTCTGGGAAGAATCTCAGGTGGAGCTCTGTTATGCCCTCTGCTGCTGGCCAGTTACACAGCTCTTAAGAACAAACCTTGACGCACTCTGGCGAGTCTGGCATTGCCAGAAGGGATGTTTCTCCCGATGTGGTTGTCACCATTTCAACCTTTGCCAAGAAGCCTTAGCCTCAGGCAGACCAGACTTGTTTGGTCCTGCATCCAGAGGCCTTTGATCTCCCATGGTGAGGATGACCACCACTTTAGGGAAACTCCAAAGCAGAGATGCTCTAACCATCCATTCCTAGAGTAGCATGCCCTCTTTCCATGTTATACCATCAAGGACACTAGTGCCTTCAAGTCAGTTCCAGGACTCCGTAGGGGTGTGTGTGTGTGTGTGTGTGTGTGTGTGTGTGTGTGTGTGTGTGTAGTTTTTTTAAAGGTTCAGAAAGATTCTCCATGGAACCAGGCACCAAGGCACCTTGGTCAATCACTGAAATTTCAAGTTTGGGCAAGACAGGTAGCTACACCAGACTGAAACCAACAGCAGTCAAAGTTCCAATTATATACTTAACAAGAATGGGGATAGGACTGGAAACCCCAATTCCATCCTGAAGAGCCCACCTTTACTCCCCATGTCTGGGAACTTGATGCCCGCATCTTAGCAGAGCCCAGAGTGAGGGTGGGTGCAGGTCTCTCTAAAAAAAATGGCACCTCCCTTCACCAAGCCCAGGCAATGATCTCTGGGACTTGTTATGACCTTGTTAAACAAATCCAGCCCAAGTGGAGCCCAGGCTGGCTGGACATCTCCTTCTGGAAGAAATCCTGAGCCTGAGTGAGAACAGAAGCCTCCTGGCTCGGCTCCCTCTTTAATCAGGACCAGCATTCACTATGGGGCTTCGAAGTGAGACGGACAGGGTGGGACTTTATAGAATTCCACCTTAAAGTCCAAAACTGTGGGTTTCCCATCAAGCCTCCTCTACTGACATCTCGCTGATGTTTCCAAAGGACATTTTTACTTCAACAGTAGCTGTGGCTAGAAAATGTACTCCTGTCTCTTGTCATTGAAACCACAAATATCAACAGGTTTCACTCTCAACTAGCTTGGAACTGGCCCTGACAGTGTTTGGCCACTCCTCAGCATTGGGCTGCCCATCAGCCTTTTATCTGCCACAGAACATCAGGTGGATTTCCACCAGGATTCTTCCAGGACTTGGGGCATGCCAGAGAAGATCAAGGATTAGACTTGAATCAGCAGACTTGGATTCAAATCCTGACACCGCCACCAACTTGTGGCATGTTCAAGTCACCTGACCTCTCAAAAGCTTCAGCTGTCACACACAACTAGAAAACAGGACCAACATTTTGCAACTCAGAGGACATTGCAAAGTTCAAATTAACTGAGACGACTCAGCAGTACTTGGAGCACCACAGACTCAGACTCGGCGCTTAGTTGATGCTGGCTTTCCCTTTCCTGCTCACCCCTTAGCATTGGCTGGCATGTGTCTGAAGGTGGCAGGGAGGGTGCTGCCTGGAGGTATCGCTTCACAGGGCTCCTTGCTGTGATTCATCACTCTGTGATGAACCAGAATTCTCAGGCACTCAGGACATGACTACTGTATTAGTTTCCTGTGGCTTCCATGACAAACTGCCACAAACTTGGTGGCTTACCAAAACGGCAATTTACTCTTCCACAGTTCTAGAGGTCAGAAGTTCAAAATCAGGGGGTTGGGCAGGACTGGTTACTTCTGTAGGGCTTGAGGCCATCTATGGTCTCTGCCTTTCTCCTCTCATCTCATGGCTGCCGGCAATCCTTGGCAATCCTTGGCTTAGGGACTCATCCTCCAGTCTCTGCCTCCTCACAAAGCTTTATTTGTGCCTTCTCTTCTAAAAATTCTTATCACTGGATTCAGGACCTGGGCTGATAACCTGGGCTAACATTGGGAGATCATTCACTAGATTCCTTCTGCAATGCTGTCGTACCCAAGGTCTGCTTCATAGGC